GGCCCCCACCTCTCCCGCCATTTTGCGCGCTGGTGGCGGGAGGCGCTGCTGGTGAGGAGGGAGCGACTCTGTCAGGTTGTCCTTCCTCAGTCGAGGGAGGAGGGCGGGAGATGGAGCCTGGCTGTGGGGGGAGCACACAGGTTTGCAGGAACGGGGAAGGAACGCTGTAAGGTAGGGATGCCCCCAGTCCCTTCTGGGCAACTTGGTCCAGAGCTGGGAGCGAGCAGCTGAAGTTGGGTCGGCACTCCTGAAGGTTGCGACCTACACATTGGGCCCCCTGGAGAGAGCGCTGAGGTGAAATACAGAGGTCTGAGGTAAAGAATTTTGTTTGAGGAGAGAGGTGAAAAGCAAAGAGGCTTCAAAATTGAGCAAATCCCCTTGTGGCCTGCAGTGTTTGTAGTAAGTCTGTAAGTAAGTAGTTTCTTAAAGCAGGTACTTGAGAGGTATTTGGTTAGAGGAGCTGGCAAACATCTCTGGAAGCGTGAATCAGTGATCTGTGCTGCTGCAAACACCTTGTTTCCACTCTGCCATCTTGAATGTGCTAGAAGGGACATTTGAAGGTCATCCAGTCCAATCCTGCTGCTGTAACCAGGGTCAGTGTTACCACATCAGGTTGCTCAGAGCCCCATCGAGAGTATTGGAAAGACCCTTTTATTCTTGTCCATCTTGGAGACATGTTTTGCCCCCCCCCTTTTTTTTTTTCATCTTTGCTTTATAAAAGCCTGAGAGACTTCTCAGTATTTCTTGCCTGAGGAATTTGAGGAGGATGTCCCAGGTGGCAGCCAGTGAAGAGGTGGATGAATGCAGAACTGCATTAAAGGAGTCTTGTGCCAGGATTTTCCCAGGTTCTTGGAATGACTGTGACATTTCTTATAATTTTTATTTACACTATCAAACCATTGGAGTTAATGTAGCTAGTCAAATAGTAAATGACATGTGGGGAACGGGGGCCTGAAGGGCCTGGCAGAGTAAATATTGTGTATAGCAAAGACCGTTCAAGGATGGGAACCGTAAATCCAAATTATTTACATGGAAGTTTCACAATCATAGATTGACAGTTCCCCACCAGAAGTATGAAAACTGTTTCACAGAATCCCACAATATGAGGAGTTGCAAGGGACCTGGAAAGCTCCCCCCGTGCAACCCCTGCCAGAGCAGGATCACCAGAGCAGTCACACAGGAACACGGCCAGGGCTTTGGGTGTCTCCACACAAGGAGACTCCACCAGTGTGCAGTGTTTGCAGCTCCTTGGAGCTGATGGAGTGGTGGTGGTTCGATTGAATAAGCACTTAACACAAGTAATTACTACTTCAATAGCAGCAACTTGGTAGTACTCCTGACAGATGCTTTCTGCAGCCGCTACAGATACCCAAGCCTGAGAAATCCCACATTTGATTACTGACATTAAAAACATGTGAAAGCATGGTGGCAAAATTTACCAGCTTTGTTAGATTGATTAGTGTGAAGGAAGAAGTGGTAAAGCCTGGCATGGGGTGGGGTGGCAGAAATGGGTAGAAGTGGTGGTGCAGACTGTGAAGAGGGGTGTAAAAGGGGCACTGACAGATAGGTTTTCGAACTTCAAACAAGCAATCTTCTTCGCTGCGTTCACAGACAGTTTTGATTACAAGCTCTGGATTCTGCCAGTATTGTGAAATGTTTTCTGTTTTAAATTTGAAGCATTTTCTCTGGAATATTTGAAGTTCTACAGCTGCTGGGGAAGGAAAATATTTTTGAAATTTTTGATTCACAGCTGACAGTACGCAGTAATTAAATAAACTTGAATCCTATTTGCAAAGCGCTCTAAAATATGTTTTTCATGTGTTGCTAATGAGATGCTGGAGTACAAAAGAAGTGTCAGCTTTGGTTTATCTCTGTAGGTAGAGAAGAGAGGTTTACTTTGTTATTTTATCACCAGATTTGGCCTTTACTGGTATTTATAAACTCTGTTAAAATTGATTTGGTATTTTACCATTTGTTTCAGTGAAACTAAGATTTTTGACTCATAAAATCCTTTCTCTGGTATTCTTTTAGTGACAGCTTTGCTTTTTAAAGTTGTCCTTAAGCAAAATTAAGAGCTGTGAAACAACACAAACATATAAAGAAAACATGTCTAATGCCCAAAGGAAAAGCATTTAAATTAACAGAAGTATTTTAAATACTGGTATAGATGAGAAATAATTTAGAAATAATCTCTGGTCCTGATGTTTCAGAATAAGCCTGTTAACAAAGTTAAGGAGTTGGGCCCATATTCCACTTATCCAGGTAAGCAATTTGCCTGTTGGTTAAAAAAAAAAAAGAAATTATTTTCTTTTAAATTAAAATAATTGTGGGATTTTTTTTAAATAATCGAATAATTTTATTTTGTAAAAAGTAATAGAATCCGATCGTATTTTTTCCATCAGAACAGAAACAATCTGAGAAAAAAATACATAGTCTGCAGTTGTATAAAAGAATCTTAATATTATTGTTAGAAAATAAATAATTTAATATAAACTTTATCTGAATCTTCACATTTACCCACTTTTTCCCCTCCTGGCCTGTCATGGAATTGTAAAGGTCGTTTAATGTGCTATTGTACAGGATTCTTTGGTCATGAGTAATAGGAACCGTATTTTATCAGGAGAGAGATTCTCCTTTTGAAGAAGAATTAGGAATGCAGGCAAGCGCTCTAAAAGAAAAAGAATTTAGGAATTAAATATTGGCACTTATAACCAAAAAGGTTCCTACTGTTTATACAGGTTCAGTTCTAGTAATTTCAGTTTCACAGTTTCTGATGCTGTCTTTTGCAGATTAAGAGACTTGATATTTGATCTGGAAATGTTTAACTCTGCAGACATACTCTTTTCATTGGATAATTTATTTTATGAAAGACCAGATACAAGACCAAGGTAAATCTTTATTCTTATGTATATATATCTCGAATTGTCTTCCAAGTTTTTTCACACTCTGAATCATTTTACAGCAGAATTTTTTTTGTAACTCCCTTTTCTGTCTACCAATAGAAATGTGGGACTAGAAATTTCCAGGTTCATAACCCATACTTTGAAATCCCTTTCCAAGCACACTGAAGTTTGAATGATGCAGGTGTATCTTCAGCCTATGAGAAATACGGGTTAGCAGACGTTTTTGCCTCTTAAATGTCCTGTGATTTAAACAATCACAGGAATTAAAGAATATTTTTAGCAGGAGAAATAGTAGGTTATTTATGATCAGTGATTTCTGAACTAGCTGTTGTGGAGGGTGCTTAAAGAATGCTTTTCTTACGTTTGTGTGTTAAAAATAGGTATCTAGAAAATGAAGAGCGTAAGATGTGGTGTATTGCACCTGCTCCAGCTGTCACTGAAATTCCAGCTGCAGAGGAGTTACAAAAGGAACTGGAAAAAACCACAGCAAATGCTGATATGGGTAAAATATCATAGACTAGAATCATAGAGTCATTAAAGTTGGAAAAGACCTTTAAGGTCATGGAGTCCAACTGTAAACCTAACACTGCCAAGTCTCACTAAACCATAATATTTGCCATTCATTTTGAATGGCTTAACAAAGAATTAGCTTGACAGATAGTTCCTGCTCTCTCTTTTAATGCTGTGAAATATTCTAGGTATGCAAATGTAGGCAAAGATTATATTTTAGTTGAAAGTGATGGTCTTACATGTGTTTGGAGTATTCTCGGTCCTCTTTGGACATACACAGGTAGTGTCATTTAGAAAGTTGTTCTGTCAGCTGATGACTCTTCCCTACCTGGGGAGAGGAATTGGGAAAAGGAAAGACCACCTGTGGGTTGACATAGAAACTGATTTCTTAAAATAATAATAAAAATCAGTATTAATAACAGTGTTGATGTAAAGTACACAGAGATGTACTCAGCCAATATAGTGGCCACAAACTGTGATGGTCACAGTGAGCAGGGCAGTGGGCCTTGGGAGTAGAATGATGGCAAGACCCCTCTGGCACGACAGGCATCGAGGAGAAAGGGCCACCCCCAGCAATCTCCACAATTTATAGTGTGCATGACCTTTATGGTATAGAATAATTTCTGTCAGCCAGCTTGGAGTCAACTGCTTTGGCTTTCACTTCTCCCAGCTTCTGCACTTATTTAACTCAAAACTGCTAAAGACCTTGATCATTGCATAGCAGTGCTGGCTGAAAACTAAGAGTGTCTTACCAACTTTGTTCTCATGAAACCAAGTATTGTAGTCTTTGCAGAAATGCAGCTTTCCTGAATAGAAAACTGATTCTGTGATTCTCTCTCAGCAAAGCCAGGACAACAGGCTACAAGTTTACTGTGCGGAAGTGGGCAAGGTAAGAAGTATGATTAAAATTTCAACTACTCCACATTGTTCTGTGAAGCATTACAGTGCTGTGGGAAGACCTGTAAGAGCATAATGCAACACAGGGATCTGATGACTTGTCTCCCACCCAAGGAGCAGAGAGCTTATATGAACATAATGTTCTTCGTTCTTTTTGGGCCTTTTTTCAAATTGCTATTTGGGAGGCCAAATTTGAATCTGGCCATTGATTGCTGCTAAGTGGGGTATTCCCTCTATGTAGACATTCAGGATCACATTAAGGAAATTTATTTTAGTGAATTCAGTTGCTTTATCTCTGTCAACTAGATTTCTGCATTTCATAGCTGCTGTGCTGATTTCTGATATTCTTCATATGGGAATTATATTGTTAAGACCGAGGGGTTTTTTTTCTGCTTTATGCAAGAGTAATTTCATTATGTACTCATTCAATTAAGCTTTCTGGTGTTTGTAGAATTAGAACTGTTGGGGTTATTATTCTGGGATAGCATGAGGAGTTTCTGTCTTACAAACTACTTTGTTGTTCTGAGTAGTTTGCTCCATTACCTTGTATAGGAAGCATAGAAAGCGACCCTATTTTTATAACATTTTAATTAACAACGGATGCATTGCATTCATCAGCATGAGTCATAAAATATACACTGAAGGTCTTGCAATAAGGTAGAAACATCAATTGCTATAATATATGCAAATTTGGCATATTCTGTGTGGACGATATTTAATAGAATTACTGTGAATAGGAGCATGACTATTAATGGAAATAGGAAGTTTTTTTGTGGGAGAGAGAAAGCACCAGAAGTTTATACAGCAATCTAAGAGCAACAGTGAGGAAGTAAATGATAAATCACCAGCACCTGTTCATTTTAGCATAGCCTCTGAAAAAGTGCTCCAATAAAGTGCAGGAGAAAGAGAGAAAATTAGTTTTCAGTGTGAAGGTCTGAAAATGGTTTCATTGTTTCTCTCTTCTGACCAAGTTAAATCCAAAACAGGAGCAGGAGTTTCACAGCAACCTGGTGTAAATTTTTCACAAAACAAAATATTAAGTAATTTTCCAGAAAACAGTGATGATGAGAGCGTCCCTTCAGCATTAAGAAAAAGGTACGTGTCTAGTCAATTCTGTAATGTTGAGATTGACCGTTTCATCTGTTATTGGGATATGGGCCCTATCTGGACAGGCAGTTGATTCTTTCAGGTTCTTTCTGGAATGAAAGTAAAGTTAAAATGTGTCTTGAAAGGAGTCTTCTTCCAGTAGAAGAGTGTCAAAGCAAATGACGTTCGATACAATGAATGTCTCTTACTCATTCTGCTTCTCATGCAAACATTTTTTTCAAATATTACAGAAACTGTAACATTACAGCAAACTAATGAAAGTCCTGGATCTTTTGCAGCTTATTTAAAACATCTGGTTATACATACAAAAATACGGAATTTAAAGATAGTTCTGTGGATATGAAAGAAATTGATGTTTACTTAAATAGAAGTGAAAACATGAAAGAAGTGAGAAAAGAAGATTTATGGATAGATAACCATCGAGCTCCAATAACTAAAGACTCAGATGTTACTCTGCATAGAGTAAATAATGGGGACATTGTGTCTAAAACTGGAATTAAAATGGAATCATTTTCTCATGTTTCAGAGATTCTGGATATGACAGGTAATTATTATTACTCTATTTCATGAAAAACAGCTCACTGTTTGTCTTTGATATGTAATAATAATGGGTATCCATTGTCTGAGGTAGAGTGAAGAGCATTTTCCACCAGCTCAAGGTCAGATAATTGGCTAAACTTGATTGAAGATACTGCAATTCTATGGTTGTTTAACATGAGCTTCGAGAAGAAGAGTCACATTTTCAAAAGTGCCAAGTTATTTAAACAGTTCTGAAAATCCCACTTCAAATCAATCCCATAAACAATTTGAAAAAGAGCAGCCTCATCCCTTCGCGTGGTAAATGGTCTCATCTCTATTTCAAACCAGAAGTCGAAAATGCAGTGTTTATTTGTGAGGTGGCTCATACTTGTCTCTTTGTAGAATTAGATTTTTACGTAGAAAAAATCTGAAAAATGGAGGAAAGTGGTGAGAATTTTGATGAAATTTCTAAAATAGTTACTTTAAATTTTTTTTTAAATATATATCTTGTTTATTTCTAGATTTTAAGTTTCTGGGACAGGGGCTCATTGCATCTGTGGAATGTGCCTTGTATACTTGGGTAACTGCTACAGAAATACAGAATAGACAAATAGTTCCAGCAGAAAATTGTAGAGCAGATCTGGGGCTTAAGATGGGATCTGGAGGCTGGTCAGGACTGGAATTCTGCTTGCCCTTGGAGCAATGGTGACTGGATTTGTGATGAGGGGAGAGCAGCGGATGTGGTTTACTTGGACTTCAGCGAGGCTATTCTAGAGTCACAGAATGGTTCAGAAACTGTCCTCCACAATATTCTTTTATCCAGGTTAGGCCATTAGGAATGGATGGACAACTGCATGGGTAAACAAAAATGGTCAGGCCCAGAGGGTGGTGGTTACTGGGTCACACTGAGTGCACATGCTTGTCCCAAGTGGAGTGCTGCAGGGGTCTGGCCTGGAGGAGAGGGCTTCCAGGGATCTCATGAAATTCAGCAGGGATGAATGCAAAGTCCTGCCCTAGGGAAGGAGAAGAACTCCTGGGGTTCTCCTGGGATGGAGCTCTGTGGAAAGGTGCCTGGGGTCTGGCAAACAGCGTGCTGAACGTGAGCGAGCAGCGTGCCCCAGCAGTAACGAAGGCTGACAGTGCCCTGGGCTTCATTAACAGGAGCAAAGCCAGGAAGATGAGGGAAGTGATTTTCCCATTCTTGGCACTTTTGTGACCATGTCTCTATGCTGCATCAAGTTTTGAGCCTCTGGTACAGGCAAGACATCCTTAAACTGGAGTGAGTTCAGCAAAAGACCACTAAGATGGGCCTTTCAAATGATGAGCTTGTGACCTCCCTGTCCTATCCTGTCAGCTTCTTCTGTATCACCTGGACCTTTTTATAGCCTTGCAGCTCCTCACAGAACACATGGCTTGGGGTCAGGAAGATATTTCTCATGGTTATTGGTTGGAAACAAATCTGATTCTATTATTTACTGCTTTTATTTCTCTAGGAACTACAGGAAGAAAATTGGAAATTTTGAGGTCCGTTACAGAAATACGTATCCTTGTATTTGCTCTGATTTACTGATTTTATTACAATGCTTTTACGTTTGCAAAATTAGAGTGCTTAATTTGTAGCCACAGGAATTCATGCGTTACACTGTAATAGTTTTGATTTGTAATGTAATGCTGGGAATCAAATGATGAATAGGTGTTTACCCTTTGGACTTCCAAAGCTGGAATGAAAGTAGGACAACTTCTAGATCATTCATTGCAAAGCAAATTAATTCTTACTTCAAACATTCAAATTTTATCCTCAGAACTGTTTATTTTTTAAATGTAAAAAATCTGAGTTTGCATAATACATGTTTCAGGCCAGGTTTTATATGCAAAGACACATACACACATGTATCCCCATACACTTTAAATAAAGGCAAAGTGAATTATTATTTAGGCTTATTAGAAAAACTGAATCTTACTTTTTGTCTCATTTTCTCAGGAGAAAGTGAACTTGGTATTCCTTATAGGTCTGTATTTATGTTGCAGTGTGCATAAAGTGTATTTCCATTCTTTTAAGCAGATTTCACTATAATTTTCCTTCTTCTTGGCCCTGCCTTGAACTCATAACATAATTAACCATCCATCTATAGCTGTCAAACTTTTTTTATTTTATACGCTGTCTTTTAAGTATTCTGTTTCTAGTAGCCTGTCAAATGGTAGGTTAAATATCAGGAAGAGGAAAGGTCTAAATTTAGGCAACTTAAATTCCTGTGGATAGCTTTAAGAAGTGTAATAATTCCCAAACTTGGAAAGGACTCAGTTGTTCTGAATTTGCCAGAATTAGGTAGTCGGTGTTCTGCATTTTAAAACCAGATCACTTCTTTAGAGAGGGAATTTTAGAGAAGTCTTTTTTAAAAAAATCCTTATTTTCTGTCACCTAATATTACTTGCTTATCATTACCCATTTTTAATGCTTATATTTGACTACTTTTATTTCTTGTTTTACTCCTTTTCCTCTTTATTTAGTCTTTTATTGTAACATCAATCTGAGGCCTCAGCAGTTCACTGTTCTTGTTACTGCCGGTGCTGTCTCTTACTGTGTGTGCCCCCTCAGCCTGATGGAATGGTTACAGTTAGTCTGCTTGTGTGGCTTCGTGCAAGTCCAGACAAGGATCAACTCATTTGGATTTGTAGTGTGACAAAGCTCCTTCCTCTTACTCCTATCTTAGATAAGAATGTTGTTGTCTGAAGAATACACAATATTAGCAATTGAAAATATCTTTAAACCCACTGTCAGCACCAAGAGATCAATAGGTGGATTTCTTTGCTACCGTTACGACTGGACATACAATGTTATGCTAATTCATTTGTGTTGCATTACAAATATACATGACAGTGTGACCGCTGACACTTTAGATCCTCTAACGGCAGTGCTCTGCTTGCTCTTGTGTCTGGTTTGCAGTAGAATAAAGCTTTTGTCCCTTGCAGTTTCACATTCAGTCATTGAGTGCCATTCCATGAAGCCTATGCCAGGGAGGATGTTCTTGATTATTGGTATAATCCTGAGACACCTCAAATAGTCAGTGGGTTTTTTGGTGAAGTGAAATACACACCAGGAATATAAAACAACTGAATCATTTAATAGGTTACTTTTTGATAATTTTTACAATCAGTGAAAGATTGTTGCATGTGTTTTAAGTTTGCATTTAAATTACAAGAAAGAGATGCATTTACAGTTCTAAAATAAATGTCATCATTTTCACTCAATTGTTTTCAATTCCTTAATGCTGTCAAGCGACCCAGTTTAGAAGTATTTTTAAGGAGTTCCCATATTTTAACTATGCACAGTCTAAAGCTTTGGATGATGTAAGTATGAAACATTAGCTGCAGCTGCAAGTAGTGTTTTGTAGATAAATTTAAATGATACTTTGATACTCAGAACTTAGAAGGGGTTATAAAGCTGTAATATATCTAGAACCTCTTCCTAGAATAGATGAACAGGGTTGTGCTTTGCTGGGAGAAGAGACCAGAAGAACTTTTAAAAAGGTTTTTCTCTTTTAAATACATTTCTCTGAAGATATGAATTATATGTGATTGATATTACATAGATCAGTAATATTTTTAAATTCTTTTCATGGGAAGATTAAGAAAAACAGAACTTTAGGCAAGGTTGTCCTTTTGGAGAAGTGATGTTTGTCCCTGCCCTTCTTATCAGCTGTGCTCGTTCTTTAAAACCTGAGATGTAGTTTGAAAGCAACCAATTTGAGAAAGATTGTATTATAATAGGTATTGCAGAGAGGAGATACAGGGTCCATCAGGTCTTCAACTGAGCGTTTGAAATTTTTATTCAACACTAGGAAAAATCCCAGTGTTCACAAACATTTCTAAGCATGTTTTTAAAACTGCTTGTGTTTGAATTTCTTATCTGCTAAACAATGTGGATAAGAAAAGAGTAAAGAGGAGATTTTAAGAATGGTGCTTATGTGAGCAAAATAATCTTGTATTCAAATTATATGGGGAGTTGGATTTTTTTGCCTTTTTTCCTTACCTTTTTAGTATTATGCATAGATTTGCGGTATTTTTCCTTACTTTCAAATTCCTATTTATACTCTGAGAATTATAGATCACATTGGCCTGTACAGTAATCTTGTCTGACTCGTTGTTCCTAAAATAATGGGAAAACATAGGTGTAAGCAAGATGTAATTTCATGGATGTTGCAAAAACAGAGTTCTCAGGGCAACAGTTTTTTTAAAAAGAATTCTTTTTGGAGTGGCTCATGTATTGGTACTCGTGAATAGAAACTTGTTTGTAAGGTACCAGGAAGGACAAGGTTTGCTTATCACTCATGTATAAGACATGAGATGTTGTTAAAAAAAATAAGATAAATTGGCATATTAGAAAGATGGGGGAACGAAAAAAGTAGTCACAGAAAAGCTACTTTCATCATTATTGAAAACTTCTGTTGGGATTTTGAATGCACGTCGAGTTGCAGAAGGCAAGCAAATTGCACTTTGAGTTTGGGCACAAAACACCTCTTTCTGATGAGGCTGCATTTGGTTGCAGTTGGACATTGGCAGTGCTTTTGTATTAATGTCATCTGAGGCTCGATACTGGGGTTTTGTTTGTTGCAGAATGGTAGAGTTCATTACTTGATAACCTTAGATGGACATCACCTCATTTACATTTCTGGGGCAGATATGTAGCAGATAGTGATCTTTCTTTTGCTGTAACTTCAAGTTCACATCTAATCCAAAATTTTTTAGAAGACGGCATATATCAATGCAATAATAATTTCCTTGTGTCATTTTCCACTAGACAGGAATGCTTTTGGAATGTGTGAACAGGTACTATGGATATAGCCGTGTTATATTTACTGCTTTGCAATTCTTTCCTAGCTTCTTTATACAGGCAGGAATTTTGTGATTTGTGCTCCGACTGGCTCTGGAAAAACCGTAATGTTTGAGCTAGCTATTACCAGATTACTCATGGAAGCCCCACTGCCTTGGTTAAATATTAAAGTTGTTTACAGTAAGTATTATGCAGCTTTAAACATTTTGGTGACAGCAGTAGAAAATGTCATTCTGTGAATGTGGAGATCTGGAGTGAGGGCTTTAATGATACTGAAATTAAATATGTTAAGAAATTGTGACCTACCTCATTCTTCTAGAGTTAATTTCTGTTACCGTTGTAATTAGTGGTAGTATTTAACAGCACTGTGTAATAATTGTAGTGTTCAGTATTGCTTTTACAAATAAAAAAAGGACTCTTGTAAAGGGTTTGTCCTCTAAATCCTGTGAAGAGTTTGTCCTCTAAGAGAAGATGTACTTGAAAAGTGAAGAAGGAAGCAAAGGAAACTAAACCAAATTATTAGTGGCAGAGCCAGAAATCGAGCAGTATCTTTTGTATGCCTGCCTGTTGCTCTGAGATGAGGATCACATTTTCCGATATCCACTTACCTGAGGAGGTTTCATGCTAACTGTTGCTTTCTGTTTACTGGTTCAGAGGCTACAGAGCTGTGATCTCCAAGAGTTTAATTAATCTGTATAGGAACTGGATGAAAATACTTTAAAATAGTCACAACAATTACACTTTTTTCTTTCCTTCCTGGAGAATTGAGTTCATATCAAGTAAATCAGATGAAATTGGTGGTTTTTATCACAGTTTTAATTAATTCATACAGTCATATTTATACATCTTTTATACAAGGATCTGCTGACCTTTCCAGGTTTGCCAGTGATGAAGAAGGAGACCTGTCAGCTTTCTGAATGTTGTGACAGAGGTGTTAATCAGATTACGTGCTGCTGGAGCGTGCTCTGGTTCATCAGTGGCCCAGTGGATGCGAATTAGCTTAGTTGTGTAAACGGGAGTTGTTTCCCAGTAGCTTTGACACGTGCTAAGGACTGGTGACTGAAGTTCCAGCAGCAGTCACTGGCTTCTTGCATTCTTGCATAGTGAAAGATGATCACTTTTGCAGTTTTGTGAGTTTCTTGCTGATAGCTTAATCTGTTTTCTGGAGCTGTTGATTTCCCCTGCTTTATGGGCCACTGATACGCTCACGAGATTTTACACCTCTTTCTGATGCAGAAACGAGATCGTTAAATATCTTCATCTTAGGGATCACTTGTCAGCTGATATGAAAAAATGGTTCATATTCCAGTGGCTCTAACTGGCCTAGAGTATAATCACTGCAAGATCTGTTTTATTACTGCTGGTTTTGGATCATGCGTACATCACTTTTTCTTTCACTTAAATCACTGCATTTTCACTATAGATTACTCATCCAATATAGACTTAACATGTGTTGCTACTTCAGTCCTTGTAGAGAATTACTTCTGATTTCTAGAAATCGACATCCATCTGCAGAAGTATAGCATGTATGAAAAAACAATGCTGAGAAATAGATTGTTTTAGGAGTCCGCTCATGAAGACCAGCATCAGAACAGCTACGTGCCATGTTAGCTGCTACCTGCTGTGTTAGCTGCTTGGTGTGACCCTGGCTGCACTTAACTGTACATTTGGTTTAGAAAGATTTTGATTTCTTGTGGTATTCTGTCTCCTGCTCGTGGATGGTTTCTCATTTATAACCTCTTTTCTCTCTGAGTACAGAGTGCTCAGATCATACTGAACTGGAAGAAGGTTGGTATTTGTATGATCTCCCATTAAAAAAAGAGATGTATTTCCTTTGGTTTCTTCTGTGAAATGATTGTTTCCATGTGGGGTAGGGGAAAAAATCAGAATTAAGAGAGGGCATAAATAACCTTATTTAAAGGGTTCTGTTTCTGATTGCTGGTAGGGAAGAACTGAGGCCTAAAGCTCAACATTGATCTGTGCACATAGAATAGGATAATAAGGATAATAACACCAGTTACACATTTTATGATTCTGGGAGCAAAGCTGAAAAGTAGGGAAATTAAATTCAAGAAGAAATCTTAAAAAGTATGCATTTAGCATGTTTACAATCCAGCTAAAGATTTGGTTTTCCTACTATAACTCAGCTTATTTTGTGGTGTTTTTAGTGGCTCCAATAAAAGCTCTGTGCAGTCAGCGTTTTGATGATTGGAAAGAAAAATTTGGACCTATAGGACTCAGCTGCAAGGAACTGACAGGAGATACAGTGATGGATGATTTATTTGAAATACATCATGCTCACATTATCATCACTACACCTGTAGGTTTCAATCCCAGTTCTCACCAAAAAAACCTTGAATAAGCAGACGTTAGTAGTCTATTAATTGTGTGCTACTAGGACTGCTCCTTTTTTTCTGGTAATCAGTAGTAGTTTTTATGATGTACTGTACTTCTGGCATATGTTGGCCTTGAAAACTTCTTTCACCTTCTGATGTTTTGTTATGTTGGTTTTTTCTCCTAGGAAAAATGGGATAGCATGACTAGAAGGTGGAGAGACAACTCTCTGGTCCAGCTTGTAAGGCTGTTTCTCATTGATGAGGCAAGAAAATGAATGTTTCATATGCACTGGTTTTGTTCTTGAAGATAAAAGGAAACTTCGAAAATATAACATTTATTTAACACATGTATGGATTGTAACTGGAGAAATATTTTGCAAATCTTTGAAAATTCCTAATAGGTGCACGTTATAAAGGATGAAAGCCGTGGTGCAACGTTAGAAGCTGTAGTCAGTCGGATGAAGACCGTTCAGTCTTCTCTTGGGCATCTTTTAGAGAATCAGGACAGTGTTCCTCCCTTGAGATTTGTAGCCGTTTCTGCAACAATCCCAAATGCTGAAGATGTAAGAGTTACATTCTAACTGTATTTTAATTAATGTAGGTGTATTTTATAACATTTACCTGGAGTTACAAATTCAGATTGATAACAAAGCTGTAATTTGGAAGCTGTCAGCTGAAACCATATGGAAGTATCAGTCAAGTATGGACATGCTTCAGTGTTTGATTTGTATTTGTGATTCTTGTCTCTTAAGTACAAATCACAACAGACTTGAGATTTCAGTCTGAATTATATTGGTCCTGTAGAAAGCAGACCTTCACCTATGATTTAAGGATAAAAGCAACGTCAAATGTGTTAATAATGTGACAAAAGCTAAGTTAATTATTGTGTGATGCAGTTCAGAGCACGATGAAAAGCAGAAAATGGTCATTTCCATTCTATTTCTTCTTTTTTTAAAGATTGCAGAATGGCTTTCAGATAGTAAGATGCCTGCTGTATGTCTGAAAATTGATGAAGATCAACGACCAGTGAAGCTACGCAAAATTGTTCTTGGTTTTCCTTGCAGCGACAATCAGACAGAATTCAAATTTGACTTAAGTCTTAACTACAAGATAGCCAGTATTATACAAGCATACTCGGAACAGAAACCAGCACTTGTGGTATAACAGCTTTTTTTTCCCATTCTATTTGAAATTGCTTCTTTCTTAGAAGTGTTGATGCAAAAAAAATCTTTTCTTATTTATAGTTTTGTGCCACAAGAAAAGGAGTGCAGCAGGCCGCTTCCGTTCTTGCGAAAGATGCTAAATTTCTACTGAGCGTAGAACAGAAGCAAAGGTATTTTTTATATTTGAGTTGTTAATAAGTGTTTGCGTGTTTTAGTAAACCTGTCACATCTGTGAAGAAAGCTGTTGAGCTAATGCAATTTGTAGCAAAGGAGTGTCTGCAACAAAATCATCACAAAATTTTCACAAACATTCAGTTTCGAAAAGCTGCTTTCTAAGCATACAAATGTTAATTCCTATGGACCTACAAGACTTTGTAGTGCAAAGGTTAAGCATGTGAATAGTTGAATTGGATGTGGTCTTAGTAGTGTTCTGAGTTAAGCCATAAGCAATCTTTGCATTATCAGATACCTTTAATAAATATAGCTCATATTGTTATTTACTTCAAGGTTGCCCAGGTTTACCTCAAAGTTGCCTACTTCATGGCTGCTGCAGATGCTCCTTCCTCATTTTGGATCTCAGGCGTAGTCGTCTTTGCCTTATGTGAACAACACGTCTAGGTTGTAGGTCGTGACTTGGAAAGCTGACTGGGCTGGAAAAGCTGCCCCAGAGAGTCAGTTTGTTGCCTTTCCAGAGATGGGAAAGGTGGATATGTCCAAAGAACGTATATTTTTAAAGTTATTTTAAGACTATGTCCTTTTGATAATCTAACGTGTAATTTAAACCCAAGAACATTCTTAAAACGCACAAATGCAGTAGAACTATGGGAAAGTGTAAAAATGCACATCTCAAGGAATACAGCGTACAGTCTTCAGTGGGGTCACTGTATCTAGCTTCACGTGAAGCTTTATTTTTGCATTTTAAAAATACACTTGCTCCTTTGTATATTCCACTTACATTAGTGAATGTTTTTGGATTTTGAAGTATTTAATATTTTTTTGTGTTGCATAGATTACAGAGGTCTGCAAATTCATTGAGAGATTCCAAACTGAGAGGTAAATACAACTTGCCACTTCTCTGCTCTGTGAACGAATACCTGCTTGAGTAAACTTCAACTGATGGATGTAATTATTTCATTATCAGATCTTTTAATGTATGGTGTGGCTTATCATCATGCGGGTATGGAGCTATCTGACAGAAAAGTAATCGAAGGAGCTTTCACTGTAGGAGACCTACCAGTACTTTGTAAGTAAATTTACCTTTGAAAGTCAAAATGTTGTTGACATATCCTGAGAAGAGTGCAGTTTGGAAGTGGTAATATTTTATGATTCTGTGGTTTGTTTAACCTTTGGAATTAGTTTGTGAAATCCAGATAAAGATGTGTTTGTGTTCCACACACTCTTACCCTGTGAGTATACATGCACACTGTTACTAAAGACCACAGAACTTCTTTTCAGCTTATACAGAGGTCCTTCTCCCTCGTGTGTCTGTATAGATCTGGCCCTGTCCATTTCCTTTTCATACCACTGAGCCATCCTGGTGAGGTGGAAGTCTCTGCTAGTGTGTCTTTCCTCAGAGCTCATATGATGTTTTCTTTGTGTCCTTTGCAGCATTACCTGAAGGTAATCCTTTACATTTATGCTTCTTAGATGGGCAGGGTAGTATTTTCAAACTCCCGTGCAAAGTGTTTTGATTGATGGGGAGGTTCCTAACAAATTCTCTATCTGCTCTCACCTGGAATTAGGAGGTTTCTGTTTGAGATGTGATGGTCTCATCTCATCCAGGCTTGCTTTCTCTTTAAAAAAGATTCAGACCCTATGGGGAATTGTCTGTGTGGTTCATGTACAACACTGAAAGATTAATGGAGTTTTTCTTTTGTGTACAATGGTCATGACTCACTATGAAAATTTCAGGTAGATACCCTTACTGTAATCTGGCTTCCTTGCTAGAGTTGCAGTGTCCATGGTATTAAAAAGTGTCTGCATCCCTGCAGTCTACTGTACTTCGGCTGCCTGGTGCACTGTGTGTGGCTTTGACAACTGTGGTGCCATTTCTGAAATCTCAGGAGACTGTGGTTCTACAATTGCTCTTCACAAAAGTAACTTTGAGACCTTGTGCCACAGCTGAGCGCAATGTGAACGTACATACTGATTACCACTGAAAGACCGAAACGTTCCCTATTGGTACCAGAGTCCTTTGAAATTTCTTATTTGTATGAATATTGCAGAACCATCTGAAATACTGCAATTACATTTCTACAATTGAGAGGAAACTACGAGTATGGGCATATTCCACTCTATATGTCTGTAAGCGTGATGGAGGGTAGGGTCTTAACACACCTTTCCCAGATACTGCAAAGGGGAAGAATTCTTTGGTCTTGAAATAGAGTGTACGTATACTCACAGTGTGTGTATGTGTGTGCATGTACACACACGTGCATGGACTGAAGCTCTGATTGCGCTGGTAAATAACATTTTGTTGCAGCTTTTTTAAGGTTGGATGATTTTGCTTTGACAAATTTCCCATTCTGCATACCATCACAATATGAGAAACAATAATATTCTCATTACATGTTGTGGTTATGCCTTTAGATTGGATTCTTCTTTCCCAGTCCACCTGTAATTACTAATCCTAGTTCTCCTTTCATTTCAAAACAAGAATTGGAAAATTCATTAATACTTGGTTTTCCTTGTGGGGATAATTACATCAGTCACCCTGTATAGCTGGCTTTCCATGTTCAATTCCTGCCACTCCCTATATTCATCAGAGGAAGTTAATTAGTTATCCCCAAATGTTAAGGGATGTTTAAAAGTATCTGGGATGTAATTTGTTAAAGAAGACTTGATAATAAATGAATGCTGGTGATCGATACACAAAAGTTGTTATGCAAATACATGTCTGTAATCTACAGCTAATTCTTTGTGGTGCAGAATGACCACTGACTTCACTAGGAAATAAGGGCTCCTAGGAATTGAGAGGTAGTCGGTTATTTGCTGCTTGTTTGATGTCTGCCAGGCATTTCAATGGTGCTCATTTTGCAATCAATCTACTTCAATCTGATGTAGTTACTACTAGCACCTTAGCTATGGGAGTCAATCTGCCTGCACACCTGGTGGTTGTAAAATCCACAATGCACTACGTTGGAGGAATGTTCCAAGAGTACAGTGAAACTGATATCCTGCAAATGATTGGGAGAGCAGGAAGGCCTCAAGTAAGTTAATGCTATATTATATTGATGCTATCCATAGGCAGATCAGTAGAAACTGTTCTTGGCAAAGAAACTCCAATGCCAAAAAATTTACTGCAGCATTTGGCTGTTAAAGGGTTGTTATTAATAGTTAAATCACTCTTGAGATTGAGAAAGAAATCTGTTTGCCTTTGCATTGTCCACCAAGTGCTTCACTTTGCTGTGGGAAAATATCTGAAGGTTACATTTGGGGTATGTAATGAGGGGGGGGTTAGAGAGGAAGGAGGAAGCTGGCACACAATTTATAAACTGCCTGATAAAAACTCTGAAATATTGAATGGTACAGAGAGCAATGTGCTTTTGTTCTCATAACACCAGAGCAAGAAAACATCTAAGTTAGAAGTGGAGTAGAGCGGGAGGGTCAGAAACGCTGCCTTCAAAAAGCTATAATTCATTTTGCTGCCACAAGAGGTTGCTGATGCCAAGAATGCAAAGTTGTAGAAAGGGTTTAGACATTGCTTTCGTTGTAAAGAGGAGGAGGGGGAGAATTTTAAAATGGTTATTTTAATTATCCCTCTTTAAAACTTGTTGAATCATTTATGTTAAATCTTACCCCGTTAAGTCTTTTACTTTTTAGAAATACCGATAAACCTAGTATGGACTTACCCCATAGCTTACCCCACATCTGTCTCCAGAGGCTGCTTATATTAGCCAGTGTGGTATGTTGTGTGCAGGACTATTTTATCTGGACCTAAAATCTACACTAGTATGGAAATTCCAAGATTCTTGATGTTCTCAACTGATTTTTTTGCTAGAGGTTGTAATTCAGTAATATTTTTAAAGCTGTGACTCAGAATCCTAAGCCACTTGAACTTACTGAATCAAGACCTGAAATATTTACCAAGCTCTTCCTTTCAGTATTACATACACTAATCTGAGCTAAGAAATGCAGAAGTCAGGAAACTTCTTGTACCAAAAGGAATAAATCAGTCTAACACTGTTTTTTCCATTACAGAACAAAATAATCTAAGTTAGGTGGCTTGAGAGTAGATGATGAAGATAATAAAAAAATGCTATAAAAGGCTTGAATGTCCATTCAAGACTTTCTAAAGTTTGGGGATTACTAATGATAATTCACAGTCCGTTATTTTCTGTGGTTGTGGTTAGGAATCCTTGCCTTAGCTGAGGACCTTGTGAGGAGGTCAAGAACAGCCCACAGTTGTGTTGTTTCTTCATGTCTCTGTTGTATGTACATCAGCACCTACGGCTTTGAGCGTAGGAGGCTCAAGCTGAAGATGAGGCCAAACTTTGTGAGTGTGAGGGTTATGGAGCATGGCCCAGGCTGCCCAGAGAGGTTGTGGAGTCTCCTTGTGTGGAGACACCCAAAGCCCTGGCCGTGTTCCTGTGTGACTGCTCTGGTGATCCTGCTCTGGCAGGGGTTGCACTGGGGGAGCTTTCCAGGGCCCTTCCAACTCCTCACGTTCTGGGATTCTGTGTGATACAGCAGTGGCTGGAGCCCTGAGTCCTGCTTGCTACCCAAATGAGTTCAAACTTGCCTTTCAGTTAGAGAGGCCTTTGCATTCCAACAAGGATTTTAAGAAAACAGATCTAATGGTTTCAATAGATATGTCATAGCAGTTTTTGTTTGTGGTTTTATTTTTCAGTTTGACACCACAGCTACAGCCGTTATTATGACCCGTTGCAGTACAAAGGAGAAGTACATACAGATGTTAAATGGTGCTGATATAATAGAGAGCAGGTAACTGAGTATTTTTTATAAGACTATGTAGATTTATTTCATAGTTTCTACAAAATGTGTTTTTTCAGGTGGGTTTTGGGGTAGTTTCTTGGTCTACTTAGAAGAAATATAAGAGGAGTTTAAGGAAAATCAAATTGGTCTATTCAGAAGTTAACAGCCTCTGTTTTATCAGCTAAAAACATCTTTAGAACATATTCAACTTAACCGAAACCAAGTTGTATATTCCTGCTGGATAAACTGAAGAAATCGATAAAGTACTGCTAAGAGAAAAAGCAAGAATTGAACCCAGATTGTGTCCCTGAATTTTTAGATAATAGAGTCTGGAAAATACCAGCTGATTATTTGATGTGAAGAGAATATCAAGAGAAATGTGTAGGAAAGTGAAGATATTAGTGGGTAAACCAGGAAATTTTGTTTGTGTCATTTTGTTAAGGTTTCATTTTTAAAATATCAGCACTGTGCTGTAACTTCTAAAAATACGTAGCTTTGTTCTCTAAATAAATGAACTGTGAAACATCACAATTGACAGGTTTGGGGTTTTTTGCTTGCTGGACATTTAGCCATAATAAAGAAACGACATTGCTGATTAGTTACATATTCTTTAACGTTTTCTATTGGTTTCACTGATTAAAGTGAACAGTTGGCAGTAAAAACAAAACAAACCCCAAACCAAACAATAAAGATCAGAAAATTGTTGTGGTTTTGGGAGAGGGGTTTGTTTTATTTTGTTTTTCTCAAAAAGTAGTTTTAGCACTTTTTGTACCATTTACTAATTGGTAAATGTACTTACCTGTTTTCCCTTTTTTTTTTCCTAGCTTGCACAGGCATCTTGTCGAGCACTTAAATGCAGAAATAGTGCTACATACTGTCACAGATGTCACTGTAGCTTTGGAGTGGATAAGATCGACGTTCTTGTACATTAGAGCTTTAAAAAATCCAACTCATTACGGTTTGTTGGTTTTAGAAGTATATCTAAATTATGACACGAGTATGTGTTAGATCCACAGCATTTCTTTCTTTCACTTTCCTATGGACAAGGCCTTGAGAACAAGGTCTGTAATGCAGCCTGTTTTTAGGAACAACAGTTTCGGTTGCTTTCATGTAAGTAACAGGAGTTTCAGAATAGTATAACATTTAAAAATTGTGAAGAATCACTTACAGGTTTGTAATGATCTATTTATTTTGATCTTAATATACCGGACCACGTATTCATGCAATATCAAGCCACAGTGCACTTTTCAGTGCTGAATATGTAATCTTCTGCTAAGAAAAAAAAATCTAATATTTCTTCGTCTTTCTAAACCAAAATGTCTGTAATCTTCATGCTGGCTTCTTCAGTTTGTCTTGTCTGGAACAGCCTCTCGGTTCCCAGCCCTGACCACATCTTGATTCCTTGCCACTTGCTCTGCACCTGCTTCTGAAACCATTGGGGCACTTGTTGGAGACAGTTGTTTTAAGGTTTTATAGATGGGACTGGAACATGGTATATGTGGTACTTGAATGGATGTTACCATCCTTCCTGTATTCTGAAATGGGACAACTCTACATGTGAAGTTGCTCACTGACATTTCTTCAACTTAAAACTCTGATGGTTTAACATAGGGCAATATCTGCAGCTTTTACCTGTGCACATCTGTTCAAACAGCCACTTATTGCTACTTAGATACTCGCAGTATGTAAAGCTTTTGATTTGTTCCCCGTGTAATGAATATTTACTGATTTTTCACTTCGGGGTATTTGCCTCACTCCCAAAAATCAGCAAATCAGTTTGGATGGAGGACGTATATAATTGTGTTAGGTTAGAAAGCCTTTTGTCTTTTCATGCAGGTTTTTCATCTGGATTGGATAAGCTTGGAATTGAAGCAAAATTAAGAGGTAAGAGGCTTTTAAGCTTTTTTTCAGTAAAATATTACATTTCAGGGCATGTTTGTTATAGATCTCCATTAATTTCAATAGATCCATTCACAGAACAAATGTAATTCACTATGTTGTGTTACTGATTTTATTTAACTATTAATACTTTTGAAACACTGTCAGTAAATTTTGACTGGTAGAAAAGTTTTTCTTGAATAGGGGAAAAATTTAAATGCATTTACCTACCTTATCTCCATGTACATACTCAGAAATATGCAGCAGAACGCTTCAATTTTGGTTGGTTGTCATTCTTCCTAATTTTCCTTTGATCTCATTTGCTTTCATTAATTTCTGTTACTCTCCTTTCAAAAAAGCCCTTTTCAGAAATTGTCGTCTTCCCTTCATCATACATTTAGCCCTGAAAACAAAGGATGTAAAATGTAAATGTGTTCACCTTATTCAGAAGCAGTTTGAAACTGCATGGTTATAGCACGTTAGGCCGCAATAATGAAGAGTGGATGGAGGCAGAGGACAGAGTTTTTTATGATGGGTATTTTTGCATTGATCATTCAAAAATGCATAAATACTGTGAAAAAAAGGAATTCTAGAGAACTCCAGAGTGTGGCAGATCTTGTCCAGTGATGGACTCGGTGAATTGGAGGCGAGGAGTAAATCTTAAATTCTGTATTTTTGCACAGGTAAGTCACAGTACTCGTTTTGTATAGGTTTGCTGTTCAGACATCTGTATTGGTATGATCTGGTATTCCCACTCTTTGGCCATGACAGTTGACATTCTGGTGCACTGTTTGCTTGTTACCTGAAATGTGGCCCTTATGGACTGAATTGCTCATTCTGCTTAGCAGTGTCAAGGGAAGACTCGCAACCTTTTGAAGATTTCTGTGTGTTAAGCATTCCACACAGCATCAGTCGTATCTCAGACGTGTGGATTCAGTAGATCCTTTTAAGAATTATTTTGTTGTTTTAATTTCAAATTTATTTTTAGAATTTGCATATGAATAGCGAATTCATAATGGAATAGCAAAAAACGAAGAGACTGCAAATCACAGAATCACAGAATTGCTCGGTTGGAAAAGCCCTCTGAGATCATCACGTCCAACCGTTCCTGTCTACCCCCTAAACCATATCCTTAAGTACCTCGTCTACCCGCTCTTTAAACACATCCAGGGATGGTGACTCCACCACCTCCCTGGGCAGCCTGTTCCAGCTTCTGATGACCCTCTCAGTAAAGAACTTCCTCCTTAGCTCTAACCTGAACCTCCCTTGGCACAGCTTGGTGCCGTTTCCCCTTGTTCTATCCCCCATCACCTGGGAGAAGAGACCAGCACCCACCTCTCCACAAGCTCCCTTGAGGCAGTTGTAGGTGGTGATGAGGTCTCCCCTCAGCCTTCTCTTCTCCAGGCTAAACAAGCCCAGTTCCCTCAGCCGCTCCTCATCAGGCTTGTTCTCCAGAGCCCTCCCCATCCTTGTGGCTCTTCTCTGAACACACAATTAAGAACTGGTGCTTGGTCTTCAAGTGAGCAGTAATGAGAGAAGGAGGCATCCCGCTTTACAGATACAAAACCAAATAAAAAATAGCACCATGTTTTTCCTATAATACTGTAAACATTACTGGGAGACTACTTTTAGGAGGCTTCTTTTGCTAAGACTTGAATAAAACTCAGTAATTTATTTTTTTATTATTATTTTTTTAAAGTACTGCTTTTTAGTTATTTACAATTCCATCAGAAAACATACAGCTGACTGAGTAGCTGGGGAATTGGCGCCCCTTGTCTTTAAACATGGAAATAGTAATAATATTTTAATGTAAGTTTTCTAGTAAATCCAAAGTAAGTGTATTAATAAAAGACTAACTGCTAAGATTGCAAGTGGAGCTTTGTAAATCTACAAATGCAGTTTTCTCCAGTGAGAGTCCTCATGTCCATCGTAATTCTGTATATTTGTATACCTAGACCATCTGGAGCGGGGCCTGGTGCATGAAAACCTAAACTGATACATGCCCTGAAATTTGTAGAGCCAATACTTGGACTCCACTCACACATTTATTAAATTTTATACAGTTGTGTAGAAAAAATCATGATTGATGTTGGGCTTGGTGGGTCTGTGCTAAGGCTGTTCCTTGTGAAAGCGTTGCAAGGACGCATCTCCAGGAGTACACTTGGTATCTGTACACTTGGAGTCTCCAGATGTGAGAGACATTGACTGCGATTGCAGATTGGAAAAAAGGAATACTTACCAGTAAGAAAAGTTATCGGTAAGAAAAGTTACCTTGTTCATATGCTTGTTCAGTGGTTTCCTACCTTTTCCTGTCTTTTAGATGAGGACGTTTCTATTTTTGGCATGTAGGTTGAAAGGACTGGAGGGAATGAAGCATGTTACTCCATAAACAAAGCTTTATAGGAGCAGACGTGGTTTGAACTTACCTCTACAGACAGTGCTAGGGTAGAAGGCTTCATTTACAAATGCTTTTTAGGTGTGCCTTGTATTTTCTTGAAATGCTCTGATCTTAAAAGCAGCCTTTTTTTAAAGCTCTTACAGAAACTAGCTCATTTTCCCTGCACATATGAAATATTTGTAGTCATTTTTGCCTTTTAATTACCTCGGTTTTGAAAGAGAGAAAACCAAAACATGGGCCATCCTCATGCAGCAGGTATCAGGCTAAATAGGTTTAGTGAAGTAAGTACAAACGCGCCTGATTCAGTGTGAAAATTTCTGAGGAAGAATTCATAAACGCTTGTGGATATTTGAAATTTCAGCCATTTAAGTGTTAATGTTCTATTTTGTATCAATACTGTGGGCTCTGTGATCTGTCATTCACAATTTAGTACAGCAGCCCACATTCCATGTATCGAGTTTCTCGTACTTTGCTACTTGTGCTTTACTGAGATAGAGCTGAGTTGGCCTGTATCAGATATCTTTGAGCTTTCCCCAGGCAGAAGTTAACCACCAACTTCAGCAGAAGTGGGATCGTATTCTCAAAGCTTTAATTGAGTTCAGTGGAGTTACCTGGGGATACATTCATTTTAATTTGATTATGATGTACATAGCTGATTTTTTCTGCATCTACTAAAAGCACATATATTTTCAAATTGTCGACAGAACTGTGTTTGAAGAACTTGAATGATTTATCATCTTTTGATTTGATCCGGATGGATGAAGCAAATAATTTTAAACCAACAGGTAACACTGTTTTAAAATTAATTTTCAGAAGCGATGTTGAGATCATAGTGAACTACCAAGGAATAGCTGTGACCCATTAATAGGAGTACACAGATGTAGTGGAGAACAGAGTTCGAGAGATTGACTAGAATATATAAGCAAGTTTCCTTAACAAGTGGAATTTTAGTTTCTCAATGTTGATCCATGAAGAGATCTTCTCTTGTTGCGGGAAATTTTGTTGTCAACTAAGAGAAAATTCCAGACCATTCACAGAATCACAGAATCGCTCGGTTGGAAAAGCCCTCTGAGATCATCACGTCCAACCGTTCCTGTCTACCCACTAAACCATATCCCTAAGTACCTCGTCTACCCGCTCTTTAAACACATCCAGGGATGGTGACTCCACCACCTCCCTGGGCAGCCTGTTCCAGCTTCTGACGACCCTCTCAGTAAAGAACTTCCTCCTTATCTCTGACCTGAACCTCCCTTGGCACAGCTTGGTGCCGTTTCCCCTTGTTCTATCCCCATCACCTGGGAGAAGAGACCAGCACCCACCTCTCCACAACCTCCCTTGAGGCAGTTGTAGGTGGTGCTGAGATCTTCCCTCAGCCTTCTCTTCTCCAGGCTGAACAAGCCCAGTTCCCCCAGCCGCTCCTCATCAGGCTTGTTCTCCAGAGCCCTCACCATCCATTATCACAGGATAATTGGATGTGACACAGTGCAATGAAGGACAGGTTTTATCAGTACCTACTCTTCTCTGCAATCCCCTGCCAGAGACAAGCACGGTTCAGAGTCTGGTATATTCGTGTGAATTCATCTCCATTGGGGAAAACTGTAACTGGTTCATGTTTCTTCCTGCCGCTCTATGATGGGGTCAGTAATACCCACCAGACACTGGGAGCAATGAAATACTCAGTGATGGTCACTCTCAGAGAGCTACAATAAAATTAATTCTATTGTGTGACTTATACAAACGCTAACAAAATACTTGGCATATTTATTTTTAAGGTATATTCTTCTTTTTCAGACACTGGAAGATTAATGGCGTGGTATTACATTGCATTTGATACGGTGAAACAGTTTTTCACAATGAAGGGAACAGAAACTTTAAATGAATTGGTAATTTAACTTCTTAAAGGAAATTTACATGGGTTCCATTGATTTCAAAGAGAAAGACAAGAAGCAGAAGTTTTTATTTCTTTTAAAGAGCTCAAGCTTTATATAAACAAAGTTTTAGAGAATACATCTAAATAGATTCCATATGGAGTACTTCTGAGGCTGACATCTTTCCATTTCTTCCTCCCCTCACTAACCTTGCTTATGGAGATACAAAGTTGCTGAGGCCGTTCTGTTTATATATTAAACACTGCGTTGTTTTGTGGTTTAGTAGTTTGGGTTTTTCTACTGCAAAAATCAGCTGCACTGAAAGCAGAATTTACTTTTAAAGGAGTGTTACCAACTTTCTGTTCTAAGTAATTTTCGTCTGTCAGATAACAGGTTGTGGCAGAACAGATTGGCCATGAAAAAGTGGAGTGCCTGTTCTCCTATGGCTGGCTTTGCCACTGAAGTATGAAAAAAGTAGTGTGGAACACATAATAGATAGCAAAACCTATTTCTATTTGCCTTGTATGTCCTAAAATGTTGGTAGTGTGGGTTCTGATAATTTGAACTCGAACATTAATCTAAAAACAGAAAGAAGAATCTCCCCCTATTGTTATTTGATAGCCTGTCTAGGAAGATGAAAGACAGTTGGTCAGTATTAGAAAGAAGTGGTTGACCATCTTTTCGTGGTCCTGGTGGTGAGAGAATAAACATTTTCAAGTGGGTTTTTTTTTTAAATAAAAGTTGGATGAAGTTGTAAAAAAGATGGCAAATAAAAGTTAATGTAAGTTAAATTGTTACAGATTACAATGATCTCCAACTGCTCAGAATTTCTGGATGTCAAGTTAAGAACAAATGAAAAGAAGATCCTGAACAGTATGAATAAAGACAAGGACAAAATAACGATCAGGTATAAAGGGATAAATACTTTGGAAAAAGAAAGTATTGTTTTAGCAATAAAGCAAATGAATAGCAGAAAATATGTTGTTTTCATGCATAGGTTTCCAATGGAGGGGAAGATAAAAACAAGAGAAATGAAAATAAACTGGTAAATATTATCTTGTGTTGTTACTCGTTATTGAAAAGCTGTCATTTTATGGCTGTTGAAGTTCCTGTTAGGATCTCTGTCATTTTATAGAGGACAAGATCTTGCATTTCATTGTTGATGAATTTTCTTTCTCCAGTAGCAACGTTGATGTTGTTATACTTCACTTACAGCATGGCTTATATACCAAAAAATACTCTTGTATTTCCAGTCTTATTCAGGCTCAGCTTGGATGCATCCCTATTCAAGACTTTACTTTGACACAAGATACAGGCAGAATATTTAGAAGTGGCTTAAGAATTACTAGATGTATGGTAACATTTAATCCTTTTTTGGTACATTTAATAAGAAGCTACATTTTATTTGATTAATACAAGTCCATCTTATTTTTACAGGGTTATCTGACTTTCTGGCATCGTGTAAAAACAACTTTTCTGCTTTATTAAGCTCTTTGATTTTAGCAAAGTGTTTCAGGTGCAGACTTTGGGAAAATTCACTTCATGTGTCTAAACAACTGGAAAAAATTGGTAGGTACTGGTCAGAAATTATAAAGATGTAATTTGATAGAAAATCAAAACTCATAATTAGCCTGCTAATTTCTGGGGTGTCTGCTTACATAGTTAAATGAGTCTCCCAGTTACTCGTGTGCCACACTGAGTACCACAGCTGTCAGAATTGTCTGTCATTGTAACAGTAAAAGTAATCAGTTCAGTAGTTTTCTTCAGACTTTCAAAGTATTTCAGAGTTGTTCTTTTTTCTTGATGTTCATCTCAGTATCTTGGGCATATTCCACATTTGTGTGATTGCAAATCTCTGACTAGGCTATGCCTTCCTTTCCAGACAGCTGTTACTGTGGGTCCTGTTGCTCATATGCATGAAAGCCCTCTAATTCACATTGGCATGGGTAGGAATTATGAAATAGAAATAAATTTGCTGTGCATGAGGTTCACAGAATCCCAGAATATGAGGAGTTGGAAGGGACCTGGAAAGCTCCCCCAGTGCAACCCCTGCCACAGCAGGATCACCAGAGCAGTCACACAGGAACACGGCCAGGGCTTTGGGTGTCTCCACACAAGGAGACTCCACAACCTCTCTGGGCAGCCTGGGCCATGCTCCAGAACCCTCACACTCACAAAGTTTGGCCTCATCTTCAGCTTGAACCTCCTGTGCTCCAGCTTGGGACCATTGCCCCTTGTCCTGGCATTGGCCATCCCAGAGCAGAGCCTGGCTCCTTCCTCCTGACACTGCCCTTTCCCAATGGATCCCCAGGAATGAGGGCACCCCTCAGTCTCCTCTGCTCCAAGCTCAAGAGCCCCAGCTCCCTCAGCCGCTCCTCAGCAGGAGATGCTCCACTCCCTCCAGCATCTTTGTGGCCCTGCTGGCCTTTCAGGCAAAGCTGCTTGCACACAGGAGGATCACAAGTTTCTAATAATCTTCCTATCACTGTGTCCTGTTACTGGATGAACTCCTGGCTGGAAGTACAGACTTGTCATAATTATTTGAAAAGGAGTTCAGAAATTTTGGAGTCCTCTGTATTACAAAAATGTAGTTATACTTGGTTGAGGTAGTACTATAGCTTCCTGCTTTGATGTCTGGTCTTATCATACCTTCATGCTTTCAGAATTCACCGCAGTGTTCTCTGTATTTCTTCTTTAAAGACCCATCTGCTCTGTACAGAACAGTGTGGTACAGAGATCTGCAAATCAAAGAGGAGCTAAGCCAGAGCACCCATATGGCACAGTACATTCCAGCCTTGCCAGCTCAGGTGCAGAAGCTGTATTGCTTCATCCCTCCGGCTTCAAAGCAGAGCTGATCTTCTGTGCAGCACAGTACAGTGTGGTGGAACCCATTTGCACTGCTTCTGGATCTGTGCCGATGTGCTCATGGTCATCAGAGAAGTCACCATCACGTTCACCATTTCTAGGGGTTTTAGGATCAGTGGAAAAAACACGGCAGTTGCAGCATAGACACATCCTTACCTGTACACTGTATTCAATGGAATAAAGTCAGGTTTAGTTTTTTAATAGTAGAAGTGCTGTTTATTCACATCTTTGTCCTGTTTGTGTTTTTTTTTTTAATTTTATATTTTCCTCTGCTGTCATTGCTCTTGCAGCGAATGTTACAGAGAGATGCTGACTTTGAGTTCCGTCTGTTCTGCTCGCAGGCTGCTTTTGAACCATCTGCTGACAGCTCACTCTCTTTTCCTGAATCAAATACTGAATTGATGCCTGTATTATGATTTCTGATTTTTGACCTCAGTCACGCTACGGCTGCTAAGCCTATTCCATGTCTTTGCGAAGTTGAGTGAATTGTTTGAGCTCACAGATTTACTGATACCATGTAACATATTCAGAAATCCCTAATTTTTAAACTCTTTTCTCAGTATTATTTTTTTTAAATCTTAAAAAAGCCTTAGTAATCAGTATTGCCTTTATAGGAGTGACTGTACTTTGACATTTGGCCTTACTGAGATTGAGGATTCAGTTGAATGCTTACTGCATTTCTTCAGCTCTCTCCATTTGTTACTCTTGTCCAGCAATGATGCTTCCTCTTGTTGCTGTATGATGTGCTTGATTTCTGGTTGCTTCTTCTGACAGACAGGATAATGATCGGTTGCTGAACAGGATTTTATCACCTTTACTACTTGTTCAGTTTGATTTCCACCTCAATTTTTTCCTTGCTCAGAAAAAAAAAGACAAAAAGTCTTATTTTTGTTACCTGAAATTGAAAAGAACTCCCGAAACACAAAATACGCTTAGAGAGGAGACATTGTTTAATTTGGAGTTGCACAAGGCCAGGCGCTCGGTGGATTTCCACAAGTCAAGCACACCACACACAAGAACTACACCGCATTTATCCTGATAAGTGGTTAGCAAAACTCCACCTGAAACTACATTAATTGGTACAAAATTTACTTAATCTGCGTTCTATTCACTAATTAATCTCTGGCTTTTCATGCTACTCAGTCTGCATGCACAGCGTTCACCTCCTTTGTGAGTCAGTGGTCGTGATCTCCCTGTGCCGCATTTACCTTGCTCCCAGTTCTCACAAGTTTTGCTGCCTTCATCCTCATTAGGCAGCTGCCCAGCTTTTGGCACCTCTTTGGGCTGGATCACTGACCTCTTATCAGTCTTGTAGCTTCTTTTCAAGGATACAGTCGTTAAGGAGTACAGAGAAGCTGATTTAGGAGTCCTTCAGTTAATCCTCCCTGATGGTTCCCAGGACCAAGTCGCTGTACAAAATTTATGTCTTTTGAGGAAGTTGCTTTCTATAAAAAACATTCCCAACACCTGGCCCTTGCTTTGAAAACCTCATTGTCCATGTATACAAGTTTGTGTTTTAAGTCAAAAATTCATCTCTCTTTGCGACACGTATGTTGTTTTTTCTACACTAGTTGAAAACCCTTCTGCCTTTTTAGGAGTTTTAGGAGTGGAAAAACCTACTCTTCAGCTTCACTTGAAAGAAACAAGGCAGCAGCTCTAAGGGAAGTAGCTTATGTGAGAGTCTTCAGACTGCAGAGCTTCTGGAAAGGAAAGGGGAGGTGGTAGAAGATGCTTACCCTAAGTCAGACCCAAAAGGTGTTCATATATACATGAAAAAACAAAAGGTCTTCAGTTTCCCTAAATCATGGCGTTCTTGAGTTGAAATGAGTCTTTCCTTATGAGACTGCTGTAACACCTGCCAAGAAGCAACCTGAGTGTCTCTTGAGAAGCTCCCCACTTAATTTTCAGATCTCATTTACTATTTCTACAGAATTACATGTGAAGAAGCCGTGTACTCATTCGAAGGATTTGATACAATCTTTTAGCTAAAATTATTGCAGTTACTGTTGTAAGCTGTAAGGGAAAGGCTTTTTCGTATGCTGTGATGCCTCTGAATTTCTGTAAGGTGTAAAGAACCAGAAGTCAGAAAGAAGAAGAAGATTGTATGTGCTATTCCCTGCCAGTCTGTGCTGTGGTAGATATGCCATGGGAAATTTTGTTGCTAAATCTGCTCCTGGAAGATTATAATAAATTTTCTGAGTGAAATACTACCTTGTTCAAAACCCTTGAGATCCTTAAGACTTTGAGTCAAATAATTCCTTGGATAGGAGAGAAATTTCTGAGACAGTGCTGTGACGTGCTTTTTTGATTGTATCTATGTGCAGGACATGTTTCTTGACTCTTGTAGAAAGTGATCTGAAATCTGTTTAACTCTAGAAAGAAGTAACTCAAAATTGTCACTATTGAAATACTGAATACTTTCATGTTTGATTTGCATTGCATTTCTTTTCAGTAACAGAGAAGTGAAATTAAATAGCACCAAAACATTTAATCAACTGAAAAGAAATTTAGTCATTTGCTGGGCAAAAAGCTGGGACAGACGTATTATCAAATTATTTCTGCATTGGTTTCACCTGCTGTAATGCAGTTGTTTAGAACAATTTGCCTGACTGTTATTTAGCAGCATAAAACTTTGATTTTTCACAGGTGTATCACTGTCCAATGCTATGGTAAATGCTGGACTGACTTCATTTAAAAAAATAGAAGACATAAATGCAAGGGAACTTGAGTTGGTAATGTATTATTTTTTGTGTACAGATAAATATGATAAGGAAAATATTGAATATTAATACTGTTACAAGTGAAAGTGGTATGGTGAATTTGTATCTGCTATCTGATTGTCAGCAAAATTAAGTGGTTTATTCATTTATACGAGTGAATTTAAGAAAAAATGTGGCTACTGCTATTTTTCTGTGAAAATGTGGATGATACTTTGTTCTAGCAGATTATTTCACTGATTTGGCTGGGTTTGGAAAGCAGTTGCTTCAACGTGTAGGATTTAATCTTTAACATGGTTTGGATGAAAGGACGAGATGCATTTCCTTTTTAGAAGTGCTAGAAAAAGTATGGAAGGGAGTATTTATTTACAGCTCCTCTTAATGGATGTTCATTATGAGAATCCTGAATTATTGCTAGTTCTAGGTAAAGACAGTCATAGAATAAAGTTCTCCTGAATCATCTATAAAGCACTTATTATAGAGATTAGATTTTACCCCAGAATAAGTTCTTTGGCTCTTGGCTGCTTTTCAGAGGAAACTGTTTTTCCCAGTGTTCCAGAAGACATTCTGGATTTCTAAAGGAAATTGATCTTACTTGGGTTTTTCTGGTTTGCCTTTAGCAATTTGGTTTCTCTTTTCTGCCCCCTTTTGCAATTTTCATGTCATTTGTTTTGACTAAAGCAACACAGAAGAGTCATCTCATATGAAAACTGAGTAGTCAGGTTTTGAGGTTGTAGGTTCATGGGCTGTTCATTACCTGAACAGAAGTGGTAGCAACATGAAAAACCGCTGGAATTTTCTTCTAGTTATGTTGCTATTCTGTGCATCACTGACAGCAGAGACCCAGGAGTGATCAGGGCTTTTGTTGATAGCGCAATTACTCGGGTGACTTTGATTTAAATTCCTGTTGGCACCTCTGATCAGCTGAATGTACCAGAAATTAAATTAAATCTCCACAGATTTTAAACAGACATCCTCCCTTTGGAAACCAGATAAAAGAATCTGTTTTGCACCTTCCCAAATACGAACTCAACATTGAACAGGTAAATGCTTTTCTATTTATTTGATGTTTTTATGCTGATGCTATTAAATGAAAGAGCAAATAGTGACTTAAAGACATTTTGAGCCTTTGCTGATAGAAGATTACACAATAGTGGCCTCCTTCCACCTTAGCATGTACAATCAAATTCCTGAACATCAAAGGAAAGCCTTGGAATAGACATTCCCTAAAGTGCATTGGCCTCTGTCTCTCTCTCATTAACAGTATTTTATGTTACAGATGCAAACCGGTATATTCCACATTCTAGCAGCATATGTGAGTCTGAGAGGTCTCCTCTATCTTAAATATAAACAATCCCTAGAGGCAGAAAAACACCCACATAAAACTTACTGAAGAAGCATTAACTCCTGTTTATTTTTTATGTCATGCTTAAGAATATAGAGAAATAGTAAATTACCACATTAACCTAGCTGGTGCCCTTTCAAAGGAAGGGTGCAACTCCACATGCAAGCAAGAGCTTTGAAGCTCTGATGTGCTTTTTGTCTTCCAGTGGGTCACATAGCCATTGCTTTTCTGAAAGGCAAAATCTGATAAATAGCCTTAAAGTAGCTTGAAGTTGGTACAAATGAAAACACCTTTGAAGTTTGAAACAATCAATCAATGTGTGAAATTCTGTTGTTATAACGACCTGTTCTGTTTTAGTTTTTCATTTGACGTAATAGCAGATGGGTATCTCTGCAGTTACTATCAGAAGGAAGATTTAACAATTGTAAAAACCTTCTAGAGGGATGTTGGGATGCCATAATACAGCTACTTTTCTTCTTGCATCTTTCTCTTTGCATTGAACAGAGGAGGATGTTTCAAGGGCTGAATATGAACTGTCTTTTATTCTCGATACTTCATTAAATTTAGGATATTCAGCTATAGCCAAGTTAATACTGGGTAATAGCTTCTCAGAACAACAAATAAAAACTGTACCACAAATTGAAATTGCTGTAATCGAGCTTTTGTGCTTATATCAACAGTTAAAAAGTTATGGGAGGGCATTTATTTTATTTTGCATATTTTAGCAGTTACGCCTTTTTCTATATGTTTTTTTCCTAGCTTCCAAAATACAGCGACACATTGGCTGAAATCTTACTCACCGTCAAGTTAACAAACTATGAGCAGCTACAGACAAAGAGAACAGCGACAGACTTTCACTATGTGACGTTGGTCATAGGAGATGCTGACAACCAAGTCATTTTTAATCAGAAAATTATGTATGTATGATCTGGGGTTTTTTTGCCTCTCATCTTTTAATCCTTTCGGGGAGTTGCAGCTTTTGCAATACTTTCTACTGATGCCAAATGGTACGAAATGATTCTGTGTCCTATAGCATTTTCTAGTCACTGTTGTCATTTAAAATGCAGCAAACCCCTGGAAACATGCCAGTGTGCTTGTCAGTGCAGAGAGTACGTGTAAGTACCTGTGTAACGCTGGTGTCCTGGTATGGAGGTCACAATGATTTCCACATAAATAGAAAACAAGTAAAATACCTATTGAAAATACCTCCTCAAGTTGTAACTTACTCTGATTAGCTATATTTCCTTAATTATATACTCTTGTCAGAATTGTTTTTCACTCAGAAATGGGATTAAATTCTCCAGTTGGCTCAGATACGCTTGGAGCAAATGGGAAAAGGGAAGCAAAGTCTTTTCCAACTGTGTGACCTTTCCGTGAGTTCTGGCCAAAGTCTGGTACTTCTGGCAGATCTGAAGCTGCTCTGCAGGATCCTGGCTCTCATGGCCATAAATCATGTGTTATTAGGAGCTTAGTCTTATCGAGCAAAATCCAAGAACTAAGACCAAATAAAGGCTCTTTCACTTGGTTACAGATGCCATAGTGTTCAGCCTTGTTTTCATGGTCCACATGTAACAAAACTTTCCTGATACATTGCAGGGATTCTGTGCTGCTGAAAACTGGAAGTTGGACGAAGAAAATTGATGTGAAAAGAGCTCTTCAATCAGAGGACATTAGTATAAATTTAATAAGTTCTGATTATGGTAGGTTGATTGGTATGCTTTTAAATTAAAAACTACATAAGAATTTTGAATAAATTATTAAAACACTTTATTTCAAGCCAAAAATATCATAAAACTAAGTAATCTAGAACCAAAATTCTATTACATGTTTTTTACTGAGTTGAGTATTACCTGGCAATCTTAATTACATATCTGTTTGTTTCATTTACTAGCATATTAATGGACTGGAAAGCATCAAAACCATTACTAGGAGATAATATTTTGCTCTGTTGATATAGATTAGGATTCTCTTTTGCCCTTCGTCTTCAAGTTGAATCAACTTTCAGTAGGGATAACTTACCAGCTTGATAGGTTATTTAAGGAAGAGCTGTCCTTGTGAACGGTTAGGTTTTAAAGTCAAAAGATAAATAAGTATTAGATATGGATTTCCACTTCAGTAGCAAGAAATTTCTATAGTGGAAAATTCTGTGCCTTAACGTGTGTCGATTTAAACATTGGTCCCCTCAGTGTCAATCTCCATAGGATTGGGTCTGTAGCAGCAGATGAGGAGAGACAGCGATGACCTTGAAACACAGAACTTTGAAATACAATTTAAAAACAGATGGGCTGTATTAAATTCTGTCATCGTGCCCCACTTGTAAAGAATATTGCTGTGTGCTAGATTAACTGAAGTGTGTTGGGTGCTGCCGTGATAAACTTCAAATGTTGAGACTATTACAATAATCCAGCTTGGAATAATCTATATTTCTATGGGTAAACCTGTGGCTCAGGAGAAAGGAAGGTTTTCTAAGCAGAGTTGAAGGAAAAAATGTCTTTTTAATACTACTTGGCTATTTACACATTGTGCTGAGTTCAGTAAAACTCAACATGACGGTTAATTTCTCTGATACTGTTCACAGTGAAGTTAAGCTAACAGCAGGCCTTCCTAGTCTCTACTTATTTTAAAGTCTACTTCTGGTTCAGCCTTGAAGGACATTTCTCATTTTTTTAAAAGGCTGTCTGGTTTTCCAGCAATATTTACCTAATTTAAGACAAAAATGCTCTTTTTTACAAATGGTGTCTCTCATAGCCTCATCTGAACCTTGATTTAATTAGAACCAGAGCCATTATTAGCATTCAACTTGAAAAGTGCTATGTCGTGGTGCTGGGCTGGGCTGGCCACTAAACCCTGGCCAG